AAATCCTCCAACAGGAGGGAGTGTGTCAACCAAAAAATATAAAATAGCGAACCAGTAGCTCTACACATCTATGTGGGAATACCCTCCTCCCCACACACCACACTAAACAAAATATTTAAGTGGCACAAGTGAAGAACCTATACCCTTGATGGAGCGCTGAAATGGATATTAAAGGGGTTGCTGACCCCTCACCCCCTGTATACATCAAGATTGTGAGTGGTAAGAAATCCCTTTAATATCAATTTCAATGTTCCACTAAGGGTATTGGTTTTACCACTTTAAGATTTTATACAAATAATATTTTTTGACTAATTAATTTAACATGCCTTAAGTAGGTGTTGGTCAACCTGACACACTGCTTCTGATGTTAAACTACAGATATACTCAGCTATCTATAATTGGCTGAGAATGATGGAAACTGTAACCTAACACCATCTGCAGCTCCCCAGGTTGCCAAACCCTTGTCTAGACATTGAGCACCAGAACATCATTAGGAATTTTAGCACTACATGTTTATATAAAGAAGTGTCACTTTGCTCACTCACTCTCTTCTGGCTTATTGTTTTGAAAGATAATATTTCAGAAATTAATTGTGTTAAATAAGGTTTGTCAATTACATACTTTCATTTGATGTAAATGGAAATAAAATCTTTGATCTCCTCAGTGTGAAGACACAAGAAAAAACAATCCCCCCTGTGTCACAGTGAAAGGATTCACATCGATAGTGCTGATTTAAAAGAATAAAAAAAAAAAAAACAAGGATTAGCATAAGTAATGACTAACCAAATTTAGGGGTAATACTGTATGTAATTAATATTAGATAGCTCTGTTTTACCACCTGCCCTTAGATTTCATTGTTTTTTACTGTATGAGGTATGCAGGAGGACATTTTCCCCTTTGCTGCTCTGAGCTGCTAGCCGCTTTCTTCATCAGAATAAGCCATTAGCTGTAATGGCATGTAGGTGCAATGGAATGTACTTGAAACATCTGTGCAGAGAGCAAGGGAAAAATTGCTGCATGCCGTCGTAGGCCTTTGGGGAGCGTGATTAAGGATTGCTTCAGAGAACTTGAGCTCTGGCTTGGGATACAAAATAAGAGAAGAAAGAAAAATAAGGCTAATAGATTTACAGTTGCTGTAGGGAGAACAAAGGATATTTACAAAAAAAGTACTACTCTTTATTGTTACTATATTGCATCTGTTTTCTCTTGGGTTTCACTGATTGAATTGTTTAGGAAAAATTATGTCTACAAAAACATCCCAATAAAAATAACTAATGCGATAGACTTGAAGACAATGTATTATACTGTAACTGTGCATACAGACACACACAAACACACACCATCCATCCATCCATCCATATGTCCGTACATCAGTCCACCTGTCTGTCCGTTAGTCCATCTGTCTGTCTATCTGTCTGTCTGTTTGTCTGTCTGAACTCATAGGAACTGGCTAAGGACTATTTTGGTTCTGCTAGATTTGTTAATCACACGTTTTGCTTATTTAAACCTGTTAGCATTCATTGCGTTATGCAATGCTCTGTCTGCCTGCCCCCCTTCTTCCCAGTATCAGAAGCTAACTATTCACTTGAATATGTTAAGACCAACAATTATTTTATTTGCTCCTGTGTCTGCTTTCATCTTACTTTCTGTGCTTTGTGTAATCTTCATAGAACTGTTTCTTTGAGACTACCGGAGAAATGTGTTTGTTTACACACATTTATAAATAAGAAAGAAAAAAAAGAAAAGCTTACCTGGGGCATACAAAGAGTGATTATTAAATGACTAAACGCTGTTGGCTGGCTTTCTGTGGCTACTGCACTGGTTTTCCTCTAAATGAACCCCTTGCTGACACATTAGAACACGTGTTCTTCTTAGACAATAGAATAAAACATAATTAGACAAGGTAAGACTTAGATATATAATGTTAACCACTTGTTTTCCATTAAAATAGATCATCTAATGTTAAAGAAGAATGTGTCAGTATTCTGTTAAATGCTCAATCAGCCCGTCGTACTTGAACATGTGCCAACAGCCTCCTGTAGTATTAAAAATATGGTGAGATGGCAGTGTGATAAAAATTCTAGAGCTAATAACATTATGGTGAGTAGTATTGTTTACAGTGTAGAACACCTGCTGTTTGGGGTGGGGGGGAAAGAGAATAAAAAAATAGTGAAATCATCAAGCCATTCCCAAATAGGAAATCTGGGCTTCGTGCCAATTACACAATGTGTTTCAGGTGCACTGTAAATAGAAGATAGGTGCTGGAGAAAAAATTGAAATTATATATTTCAAAAATGTAAAATCATACAATTTTACATACAACCCTTCATTTTTTTTTTAATTAACATCTTTTTAGTTTATTAATTATTGCTTAATGTTTGCATGTATTGACATTTTCTCTTTAAATTATTGATATTTGAATATATAGCAGCAATATATATGTTTTGTGATTATTTTCTATAGTTCAAAAGGGCACTGTATAAATATTAGATATAGAATATTAGATTCTAGAATCTTTGCCCCCTCGCCTTCCAGTTATATTTTAAGGAAGCAAAATGTAAAAAAATGTATCAGCAAATCATAGGAACGCTATATCTATACTATTTTTTGATTTTGCATGTAATTCATTCACCAGCATTCTATGACCTCCTCTAGATGCAAGCATTTATAGTTTATTTTTTCCCCTTTTAATTTGTATTCAGTTATTTTACAAAAATGTAAACTAAAATATATAAAAATATATATATATATAAATAATTGAAGAGAATACATTCTGCGGATTCCAATTTACGAGGTCAATAGGTAGGGATATTAATTGAAGGTTGGGATTTTAGAAATGAGCACTAGTTTCTCAGAAATGAAATTGCTTGCCCCATTCTTAGTGCAGGAAATGAGGTCAGTGACTGGAATTATACAGTGGCATAAATGGCAGATGTTTTCCTAAAAAAACAAGCGCTAAAAGATGAAAATAAATAAATATCACAGCTTTAAATAAATTACTATATAGCTTTCTGATGACATGGTTTCATTGTATATGCTAAATATAGAGGACAGTTTTGCTGTATATATGATGATCATGCTGCCCCTCCAATTAAGACAGTTATAATGGATACATCCAGTCTGACAAATAGATACATCCTGTAGGAAGCACATAATGGAAACATATAAAGGATGAAGAGTTGTGATAATTCTAATAATTTATTGTTCTATACAAACATATTCGGAATGCTGTTTTAACCCCTTAAGGACCAAACTTCTGGAATAAAAGGGAATCGTGACATGTCACACATGTCATGTGTGCTTAAGGGGTTAAAGGAACTCTGTAGTACAAACATGTATTCCTAACGCTATAGTTATATCCTCAATAGTTAGATGCAATGCACCATAAATTAAAATCAATTGGAAAGTTTAAACTTACAGTGTTTCCAGTGCTGAGGCTCAGTTCAGCCGTCTGCTTCTCCACCCACGACATCATGCTGGAGGCATCACATGCTAGCTTTCTGTCCAATCCAACACTCCTTAGATACATTGAATACAATGCTTCTGTATGAGCTGCATTTAATGTTGTTTAATGTCCTCATTTGATCAAGTCAAAACTCAGTCAATGCAGAGGTAGCGCCTCTAGTGGCTGTCAGAAAGACAACCACTAGAAGTGTGTCTAACTCTGTAATGTAAAGATTGCAGTTCCAACAAAACTGCATTATTTTACATTCAGAGTTAAAACTACAGGGCCACTGCATCCAGACCACGTCTTTCAGATTAAGTGCTCTGGGTACCTCTAGTGATCATTTTAAAAATGGTGAATTATGCTGAGTCGATAACCAACTTAAAAATAAATAAAGCTGATATGGTTTTTAATAGCAGTTTTTATATTTAGGTCAAATTTTTGTAGTTCAGTTGTCAACTGCTCAATGGGAAAACCCTCAATATGGTATTAGGGATTCTATGTATTTCTTTCATTTGAATTGGAAAACCTTTAATTATTAGTGGCTGCTTTTAAAAAACCAAATGAGTGTGTCATTTTTATTAACTCTAAAGGTGCTGTGTGAAGGAATGTTTGGAGCTTCCAGTAGAAATGCTAACAAAGGCAAAATGTTATTTGCATTTCATTTCTTGAAATGCTCACTTGATGAACAGATTGTATATTGAGCGAATAGTTTGTCATATTAGTTATTCATTCAAACCTTTTTGTTTCTGAAACGTTGCCCTTTCATTTGGATGGAACACTTTTTTTTAAAGAGTATTTGTTTGTGCAAGTTAATGAACTATGCAACTGGGGACAATAATACAATCAAAGAGTTCTAAAATCTCCTATCTATCTATCATCTAATGCATGCTTGAGCTTATTGTATATTTTAGATGACATTATCAGTTTTTAATTTGAGCCAGCTTTAAAAATTTGGTAAGAGTTAGAGTTAGGGTTAGGGCTTCTTTAATCTTAGGGTGCCACTTTGCCACACATTTCATGACCTGCTCTAGGACAATTTTGGGTTATTTTAAACTTCCTACATTAACTCAGCTCATATCAAAATAATGATTTATGGGGGGCGTGGCTAACTGCCGAGCAAGATGGCCGCATAGGAATCCGCTTCGGCACATGGGCTCCCAAAACACCGTAATTAACCTCGCAGGAATACCACGAAACACCGAGCACAGTATGTCAACCTCTAAATCGAAGAAATCCACCTCGAAGGCGGAAAAAATGAGCTTCTTTGGACAAAAACTGGCTGCTATACCCGGATGCCGTCTCACCCTCAGGAGCCTCCCAGACCTTAGACTGCATCACACGAGGGCACTTTGAAAGAGCTATGGATGCGATGGCAACAAAGCTAATCCACACATGACAATCCACGGCAGACCAGATCAAAAAAGAAGTACGAGACCTCTCTAACAGGATCGCCTCAGTGGAATTACAATGCCAGGACCTGGTGTCTGCACAAGTAGACCTGTCAGGCCATATGCAGACCCTGCAATATAAAGTGGGAGAAATGGAGGTTTGCATGGCGGACTACGAGGACAGAGCACCCAGGAATAACTTAAGGCTGCGAGGGGTCCCAGAATCCATTTCACCAGAGGACCTGCAAGTATATGTGAGGGTCCTACTGCATACCTACTCTCCAGACATCTCTGCGGACATGCTCCTCGTCGACAGAGTCCACCGGGTGGCTAAGCCAAAATACCTACCAGATTCAACGCCCCGCGATGTACTACTCCGGGCGCATTACTATCATATTAAGGAACTGGTCCTTCGAGCGCACCATAGCAGACCCGACCCGCATGAACACTACCCATCGATCCGCATCATGGCAGACCTGTCCGCGGCAATGCTGAGATGCAGGAGGGAGTTCCAGCAAGTCACCTCGGAGATGAGAAACCAAGGCATCAGATATAGATGGGGATTTCTGACGAAATTCAACATTACCAAAAACAGAGAGGCGGTAATCATCTCGAAGCCGGAGGAAGGCCTGATAGCACTTAAGAGGTGGGGCTTTCTTGCCAAGCTGACAACCGGCGCAACCCCCATGCCCCAACGCCAAGGCCGCAACAACTCGGCGGACTCAGCCCATAGACTGACCGCTTAGACGCTCACCTTGCAGCAAGTATCATAACAAGTCTATATCCCAATATGTGATGCACTGCTTATGTATGCCTATGTCCTACCTATAGTGTCAACACTGTGAATTTAACCCGATGACTATGTTACAGACTTAAGTTTATATTAAAAAAAAAAAAAAAACTGCATGACTATCAGAGTAACTATTAACTATTACCTTAGAGTCCTTGACTTAGGTCCTGCAACCAACCATAAAACATTCTAAGGGATGCCCTGGGGCGACTGGGTGAATATGAGCCCTAATGGTCATGTACCAGGGGAGCGCTACCGCCTTCCTAGGGTGGTGATCCAAACCCGGCCAGACCCCATTATAACACAACATTAACACAGTGTCACACCATGTGGGGACAACTGGTGAAAAGGACCCCCTTGTGGGGGTTGGGGGGTAGAGGGGAGCATGGAGGGCCTACACTTAGACAAACATATGACCAACTAGATGGACGCGGGGTCCCCCGTGCGCCTGGCCATGCAACATTATGGGTTGGCCTACATGAGGTCGGGAACAATGAGGGCACTGGCTTGGACCGGCGACCCGGGGCCAGTGACCTGACCCCCCTGACTGCAAATGCCCACTATGACGAGGATAGTCGATGGACGGCTACATACAGTCAGTTCTTACCCCATGTGTGCTACTACAATTGATACTTGTGCATTTCTACAAGTTGCAGTGCCTAATGCAATACTGTACTTTAATGTTATGTTATTCTCTAAATGTTATTTCTGCCATGTTACAAATCCAAATTGGAGCCCAAGTAGCCACCCAATTGGGAATTTCTACTCCCAACCCCCACGGTACGACCAGAGTACCAGGTCGACTACGGTCACTTGTATATAGCACCCAACCGCCACCCAGCCCAACCCTATCCCCCCTCCCTTATCCCTACACCCCAACACTAACCTCACGAGGCAAGTAAAGCCCGTTTGGAAGGGAAGAAGGGGGAAAAAAACAGTGCAAAAACCCTTCAATGATTATCTACTCACATAACACGAAAGGCCTTAACACACCACACAAACGATGCATACTGCTAGATGACCTGAAACACACCAAAGCAGACATAGTTTGCATACAAGAAACACACTTCGTTACCAACCGCACCCCACGTTTGCCACCAAAGAATACCCCACACAATACCATGCCACACACACATGCAAGTCCAGAGGGGTCTCCATTCTACTACACAAGTCCCTGACAGTAGAAATACTCCACATCAAAAAAGACCGCCAAGGCAGATATGTGATCCTGCACTGCATAATCAACAACAACCCCTTTAAACCAGTATCTATACAGCCCGAATGACCAACAGCGTAACTTTCTACACAAAGTCCTTACCAAATTACCGGCTGGCCCAACAACCCTCATGATCATATGTGGGGACTTCAACCACACTATGGACTCCTGCATAGACTCAACAACCCCTAGCAACTCTGTTAGGCACCTCAAGCTCAAATCCTACAACACAGCATTTACAAAACTCATCCAGGACTTCGGTCTGTATGACGCCTGGAGCACCCACCACCATACTGCACGAGAGTACACTTTATATTCCCAAGTCCACAAATTGTATTCCAGAATAGACCACATCCTTATATCAGGCTCTTTACTTCCGCATGTAGATGACTGCTCCATAGGGAATATAGTATGGTCGGACCATGCACCGGTAACTATGGCCCTACATGACCACTACCAACACCGAGGCAGACCCCCATGGCGCCTGAACGATACGCTCCTGCACAATACAACATTCACAGCAAAGCTTACACAACACATGCAAGACTACATCCAATGCAATGTCGAATCTGGGGCCTCCACTAACTCCGTCTGGCAGGCCCACAAAACAGTCATGAGAGGCTTACTAATCAGCCGGGCATCATTCCTCAAGCGACAATGCAACAAGGAACATACAGAAGACTAAGAGATACGACAAATGCTTACCTCCTGAACCCATCTGACATATATGCCGAAACCATAAAAAATATTACCACCCAAATTAACACCCACTTTGGAGAAAATGGCCCACATTCTCATAAAACTAAAACTGAAGACATATAAGGTAACAGAGCAGGAAAACACCTAGCTACACTACTTAAGCAAAAACAGGCCAACTCCAAAATCCCATTTCTCATCACGCCCTCAGGGCAGAAGATTCACAATCCACAAGACATCAACGACAACATGGTTGACTATTACCACTCTCTCTACAACCTCAATACAGACCCAGCACTACACCAGCCCACCACACAGGAAATAGACGATGTTCTGCAACCTATAACGCTACCCAAATTATCGACCACACAACAAAGCGCAATCCAAAACCCAATTACCACACAAGAAATATTAGACACAATTCGATCCCTCCTGTCCGGGAAATCACCGGGCCCAGATGGACTAACCAACTCATACTATAAACAATTCGCACCCATCATTGCCCCACACTTAAAAAACCTATTTGATCACATTTTGCAGATGGGGACAATGCCGACAGAAATGCTAATGGCACATGTTGCCACCCTCCCCAAACCTGGGAAAACCCTGAACAGATGCCAAAATCTACGGCCCATCTCCTTGTTAAATACAGATATCAAACTTATTGCCAACCTTTTGTTCCAATAGGCTAGCGCCCATCATTCCCACAATCATTGGGGAGGACCAGGTAGGGTTTGTGGGGGGTAGAAAGGGAGCGATGGCACACGAAAAACCCTAGACTTACTATACGGGATGCAGGAAAAAAAGGCTCCTAGCTTCCTCGTATCCGTAGATGCGGAAAAAGCCTTTGATAGGCTCCACTGACCTTTTCTGCTCGCAGTCCTATGGAAATTAGTTTAAGGAAAAACTACTAAAGGAGGGTGTTAAGCAGAGCACCATTTTCATGCAATATGGGGAAGAAAAAGGATCTCTCTGCTGCCGGAAAGAGTGAAATAGTTCAATGCCTTGGACGAGGTATGAAAACATTAGATATTTCACGAAAACTTAGCGTGATCATCACACTATTAAGAGAGTTGTGGCTGATTCAGAGCACAGACGGGTTTGTGCAGATAAAGTCACAGTGAGGAAGATTTCTGCCAGATCCATGCATTGGATCAAGATAGCAGCTGCTAAAATACCATTACATAGCAGCAAACAGATATTTGAAGCTGCTGGTGCTTCTGGAGTCCCATGGACATCAAGGTGTAGAGTCCTCCAGAGTCTTGCAACTGTGCATAAACCTTCTATTCAGCCACCACTAACCAATGCTCACAAGCAGAAACGGCTGCATTGGGCAGAAAAATATGCGAAGACTAATTTTCAAACAGTCCTCTTCACTGATGAGTGCCGTGCCACCCTGGGTGGTCCAGATGGATGGAGTAGTGGATGGTTGGTGGATGGCCACCCTGTTCCAACAAGGCTGCGACGTCAGCAAGGCAGTGGTGGAGTCATGTTTTAGGCCAGAATCATGGGAAGAGAGCTGGTCAGCCCCTTTAGGGTCCCCGAAGGTGTAAAGATGCCCTCTGCAAAGTATGTGGAGTTTCTGACTGACCACTTTCTTCCCTGGTGCAGGAGGAAGAACTATGCTTTCCGTAATAAAATCATCTTCATGCATGTCAATGCACCATCTCATACTACAAAGAATACCTCTGCATCAATGGCTGCTATGGGCATAAAAGGAGAGAAAGTCATGGTGTGACCTCCATCCTCCCCTGACCTCAATCCTATTGAGAACCTTTGGAGCATCTTCAAGCAAAAGATCTATGAGGGTGGGAGGCAGTTTACATCTAAACAGCAGCTCTGGGAGGCTATTCTGACATTTTCAAGCAGATTCAAGCAGAAACTGTCCAAAAACTAAACTTAAAATGTTGTTATAAATTTGATTGAAATAGCTTTTGATTTCAGTAAATATGCAACAAACACAACAAATGACAATTTTCAGTTCTTTACAACCTTTAAAGTGTTTTGAAACTTACTGTGTGTAATAATTTGGAACAGAGCATTGTAAGTTTTTTATGTTTAAAAAAATACTGTTATCATTAGGAGGTTTGTTAAAATTTGAATTGTACTCTTAATAGTTGATAACATGAGAATTATGCAGACTGTTATTTACATCAATTATTTAGGTAAATGAGAAAAATATAATTTGCATAATAATTTGGAACAGGGTGTACAATTTGTGACAGTTCCACTTAAATGCACCATATTTGGAGTTAATTACTCAGCACATTGTGGGGTATTGCTGTGGTTTCATGGATTTACTGCAGCAGGGTGAATTGTGAATATAGTATTGCCTGGTAAAATGATGTGTGTGGAGTTTGTAGATATAGGTTGCTCTAATACATAGAATTCAATCAAATTGCCACAAAGTGATTTTTAAAACACCTGCGGATTGAGTGTTGGACTTAGAGCATGGTATTGGGCAGGAATGGGCAACCTTCGTTACTCCAGATGTTGTGGTTTACAACCCCCATAATGCTCTTACACCCATAATGCTGGTAATGCACTAGAAAAAGAGGCGGGCTACAAAATTTATAAAAGGAATGGAACATATCAGCTATGAAGAAAGGTTAACAAATTTAAACCTATTTAGTTTAGAAAAATGGCGCCTGAGAGGGGATATGATAACATTATACAAATATATTCGGGGCCAGTACAAACCATTGTGTGGAAATCTATTCACAAACCGGACTTTACATAGGACACTAGGTCATGCGTTTAGACTGGAAGAAAGAAGATTTTGTCTAAGGCAAAGGAAAGGTTTTTTTTACTGTAAGAACAATACGGATGTGGAATTCTCTGCCTGAAGAAGTGGTTTCATCAGAGTCCATACAGATGTTCAAACATCTACTAGATGCATACTTGCAAAAACAGAATATTCAAGGATATAATCTTTCAATGTAGGGTAATAACTGCTTGATCCAAGGATAAATCTGACTGCTATTCTAGGGTCAAGAAGGAATTTTTTTCCTAGCTTGTTGCAAAATTATGCTTCAAACTGGGTT